TTCTATAGGATCTAGAGCTTGAGATTTATTATCTTTGGGTGGTGTACTTTCTTGATTTTTCATATTTCTGGTATATTTTCTTTGATGTTTATTCATTGTGGCAGAGGGTTTCACAGTCCACAGGTATGACACTATTGACTAAGATGTTGCTGTGGTTGCCAATTTGGTATGGCTACCTCAGTGACTACTCAGTTGGCATCTAGTACCTTGCGTGTGTGGTTGCCTCAGGTCCTGGGCCTCTCCGGGGAGCCACCTCTCTGGTCAGCTTTGACCCTGCCGGACTGCTGGGTGATGGGGTCTTACCGCATTGTGTTGCTCCTGCCACTGCTGCTTCCCCCATTGCTGTTGCTGCCACCATTCATGCCGCTGCCAATGGCACCACTGCCACCAGATCTGCTGCTGCTGGCTCTGCTGCCACCACTTACCCTGCTCCTGCCACTGCTGCCACTACTGCTGGTGCCACTTCCCCCGCTGCTGCCACTGGCACTGCTACGGCCGGCGCCACTTATGCCACTGCCACTGCTGCCGCTACCGCCGGCTCCTCTGCTGCTGCTGCCACTGCTGCCACTACCGCTGGCAAAATGGAGTTTCAGAGGCTGGAAGTCCAAAGTCCAGGGAACACTGGTGATGAAGGCTTTCTTTGGTGGTGACTTCAGTGATGGCAGGTATCACACTGGCAAGGTGGCCGTCTCCACTGTGCAGATCCTTTCTCCACTTTTCTATCTTCTACACAACAGGTCCTGAAGCAGTTCTGGAGCCTGGAAGTCCAAGATCCAGGTGCCAGCAGGCTTGGTTTCTCCTGAGGCCTCTCTCCTTGGCTTGCAGGTTGCTGTCTTCTTGCTATGTCCTCATATGGTCATTTCTGTGTGAACTGGACATGCATTTTGTACTAACATGTTGAGCATAGCGATCACACAGGGTTCATGAGTGCAGAAATACTGGAGGACTAATAAAAGCCTTTTGGAGCTATCTTGGGTTATGCCTCGCATACTTCCTGCAGGCGCCATCTTCATCCTCCACCCATAGGCAACATGTGGCTCACAGATAATGTCTGCTCCTAAAAATGGGCTCAACATCTTGTGTTCCATGAAAGGAATCTACTCAAAAAAGTCTTTGAGTCATTGTTTCTTTGTGTTCTACTTACCCTGCCATGTGTGAAGAAAAGTAAATAAAAGCCAAAAAAAAAAAAAGTGTGCTTGGTTTAAATACACATTCTCTGCCCTTTGTCCACCTTCTTAAATAGAATACTTAGATCCTTTTCATCTACTATATTTTATTTGCCTTTCTGAAAGCTTTTCCTCTTTTAGATAATTCTTTTAGCCCTTCTTCGGCTCTGTTCCATAACATTGGAGCGCACAGATATTTGATTTCATACATGGGCTCCGGACACTGGAGACAACAATTATACTGAGTGTGACCTGGACACACAAAGCATCACTGTGCAACCACAGCATCTCATAGATTTGCCTACCAGTGTGTCCTGCAGGTGGTGGAGCCATCAGTACATTATATGGCATAAGGTACATGAGTTGTTATAGGTATTGTGGGGTCATTAGCCACCTGTGCCTCCAACTTGATGCAGGATAGACTAGAAGTAGTGCCTGAATTACATGGTTCTGCATGTGAAAGACACATGGGCTCAGCAGCACAGTGAGGAAGCTGCAGGTGACATGCTTCAGGTGGCCTATCCAGGTTGTCCATGGATGGACTGACACATACGATGCAAATTAGGAGACAATGTGGGGTTGGGTGTATGATGATCAAAACAATTCAAAACCATGAGGGGAAGAGGTAGTCTGTCAGAGTGAATGGGTCCATGAAGGGCCAAATGCTACTTGTCTGAGGACAAAGGTGTGAGTGTGGGACACAGAGCGACAGGACTATGCAGCTGTTTTTCTATGAGTAAAATTAGTTCTAAAAAAGAAATGAGGAGAATCTTCAGGATGATCTGTTTGTTGAGAATGAAACATGATTTATAGGAATTCAGGAACAAAATGACCCTAGTGAATCTTCTTTTTTAATAGTTAATTGATATATTTATTTATATATTATTTTTATGAATATTCATGAGATACAGAGCTGATTGTCAACCCTCGTGCCCAAGAGGTGAAGTCCAGATTTGTGCTGGCAGCATGCCCATTGCCACATCTCATCTGCAAAATGACCATGTCAGATTCTCCTTCATTAACCCTTGAGGGCGTGAGAAATTAAAGATACAAATAACAAGACATAAAATGTCTCAGGGGATAGCTGAGAACGTGGAGAGTGGATGGTTCCGTTGAACCCAACAGGAAGGACAGGCACTTCTGCACCTGCTCATGGAATCAGCCCTGAGCTTGGTGGGTCCTCAGCACCCCCTGGTGGCCCCGTGTGTCCCTGTAGGGAGGTTTGTGTCCGGGCTCACGCTGACTTCCCCTCACTGTGTCTCTTGCACAGTAATACACGGCTGTGTCCGAGGCCTTCAGGCTGCTCCACTGCAGGTAGGCGGTGCTGGCAGAGTTGTCAGCGGAGAGGGTGACATGGCCTTGGAAGGACGGGCCATAGCGCGTTTCCGAATCACTAGGATCAATCCTCCCCACCCACTCCAGACCTTGCCCTGGAGCCTGGCGCACCCAGCTGATCCAGTAGCTGGTAAAGGTGTATCCAGAAGTCTTACAGGAGATCCTCAGAGACTCCCCAGGCCTTTTCACCTCTGCCCCAGACTGCACCAGCTGCACCTGGGCACACGTACCTGTGTGGGAGATGCAGGACTCAGATCTGTGGTCCCCAACTGCGCACTCCCCTCTGAGACCCAAACTCTGTGCCTGGACAGACCTGGGAGAACAGCCAGGAGGAGGGCAAGGACGGTGGCAGACCCCATCCTGGAGGAGGACAGAAGAGGACGCACTGAGGACCCAGCTGGGCGGTGAGGGGGACTCCACTGTGGAGGGGAGCCCTGAGATTAAATGGAAAGTCCCCCCACTTGAGTTTGCATATTTACCGCCATGCCCTCCAGGGGATCAGCCCAAGGGTTCATAAACCAGAACCTCTGGGGACCAGGAAGGAGGCTCATCTGAGCCTCATGTGACAGAGAGGATAATGTGACAGCAATACACAAAAGTTTGTACCTCACCCCTGGGCCCTGGAACGCGCAGAAGCGCTGGAATGAGAAATGCAATTGCTGGTGTCCACGGTGATCTCAACACAGGCGACTTTCACCAGGTGGTCCTTGCACCAGCATCAGCCACGAGTTGATTTGAGATGCAGAGTATCAGTTGTACCTGTGAGAGTTGTCAGAATTATAATGGAGTCACTTGTGTTAAACAAACAAAACTGACAGAGCTGGGAAAGCTGTGAAGGGAGGGTGTTCATGCACACACACCTGGTAACACGAATTGCCACAAAGAACTGCATAACTGCAGCCTTGCACAGAGGCCATCACAGCCTTACCACACATTTGCAAGGACATCTGCCCAGCAAATTTCTGTCCAACCTCAGACTACTGACACTCTTGTCATTGATCCTGTAAACAAGCAGGATTATACACAACAATTGCAGAACTCTCCATTATTTTTTTTTCCTTTGAAATACTTTGCCTTCATTTACATCCCTGAACATGCACATAGTTTCCTATGACTCACATATGCCTTTTGTAATGTTCTGTTCCCAATCAAGTTATGATTCTTTGGAGAGCCTCTCTCTGTACTCAAGTTACCATTCCCAGGAGCCCTGAATCTGAGCCTCTGAGGTAGGACCCAGCCACCTGCAATGTTATGTGTCCTGAAGGAGAGTCGTGTTGCACCAAAGGTTATAAAGTACCCTATGCATAGAAACAGATTTTCCTTAAGCATCCCCAGCCCATTAAAGGTCTGCATAAATACAACAGTATTTTGTTTATATTACTGAATGGAAAATGTTTCTTTTATACTTATATGTTGAATTCCTAAAACCCTCATCTAAGAATGTGGCTATATTTAGAGATAGGTTCTCAAAAATTAATTAACATAAAATATCACAATTAAGGCAGGCGCTATTCTAAAATGAATGATGTCCTTACAAGAAAGAGAGATAAATACAGAGACATGTAGAGATAAAAGACCATATGAATACAGGAAAAATACAGCGATTCACAACTCAAAGAGAGAGACCTCAGAAGAAATCAAATATTCTGACATCTAGATCTCAAATTCTTGTCTCCAGAATTGTGAAATTACTATATCTATGTATGTTTAGTTTAAGTCACCAAGTCTATGGTGCTCTGTTATGGCAGCCCTTGACAGCTAATACAGTATCCATGTGTCACCTTGTAGCTCATGTGGAGTTTAATCCTTCACCCCTTATGAAGGCTGATACATCGTGGGATGTGTTGGGTGCATGAACTCTGGGAAGGAGACAATCTTCAAAATTGAAAGCAAGCACGGGTGGGGCCATCATGTGCCTGGGGTGATGCATGCAGGACAGAAAAATGTTTATTTTCATAAGTGGTGATCTGGGCTCTAAATTTATTTATTATATTTATTTGTATTTATTTATTTTAATGAATTGGTGTTTGTGCTTAGATCCTATAAGAAGGCTACTCCAGAGAAGTGTGAAGATGTACGGAATTTTATTTTTATCTTTTTTCAACTCATATCAATGGTGTATGAAAGAGATTCATTTTGTGAAGGTCACCGCCAGTAGGAAGTAGAGCCCCACACTTCAAGGTCTCTGGAGAATCCGTGTAACATCCTCAGGCCCTAGGAGTGGAGCATTTGCCTCCCTGCTTCTCCCTCTGTTGTTGATGATCATCCCTGGAAGGACTAAAGTCTCTGCACTTCTGTGATTCATCAGACATTGATCCTCAGAATCCCCACTGCAATGGAGAAAGTCATACATCACCTGAGCACTCTCCCAGCTACAGGTGAATCATGTATGCTCAGAAATATCTAATGCAATGGCTGCTATAATCTGTGTTGGCTCAGTCGACACGAATGGGATCAACAGGAACCCACTAGAGTGAGTCCTCGACGTCCACTTTTGATGGTTTGATCCCCACAGTGTAACGTTCAGTACACTTTGCAATGAGGGCTTTCAAACAGTAGCCAGCCCCAATGTGCATGGAAGTCACAGTGCGAGAGTTCATGGATCAGGCTTCACTGTCCACACTGTGGCTGGACCTGTGGTCATCACTTAACACTCATCGCTGTCCCATCTCATGTCCAGTCTAGATTCTTCTAAGTCATGGCCAGCACTTTGGTGTTGGTGATGACTACATGTTGCTTGGCTGGTGGGATGGCCTAGGCCTTGAACGCTAAGTTCCCATTGTCCTTGGTGACTTGGGCACTGTCAGGTGTTTGATGCAGTTGCCCTAGACCATGGTGAATGCAACAGAAGAAATTCCCACACTCTGCATAGGTCAAGGTGACTCCTCTCTGTCTCTGCTGGTAGCAGCAACTTTACCCCAAGGGAGACAAGTCAAATACCTTCATCCATATAGGAAAACGTTCTTTTTTGTTGCTGATGCACATTTATAGGAATTTTTATGAATCAGGCTGTCATCACATCCTCGGACTCACTGTAATCCTCCTTGTCCCCACCTTATGTAAACATTGCTTCCTGAGGACCAGTTCTCCTAACTGATCACAGCCTAAGGTTGTGGAGATAGGAAGAAAAATTATGAAAAAGAAATGTGCATCGTCACCATAGATGTGAAGAGATAAAGTAATTGTACCTCTCACCCCTGATTTCTAGATCCAAGAGTACTTAAATCCTGGAATGCAGAGCCCTATAATGCCCATCACTTTGAGTCACATGCAGAATTCTCAAAGTCACAGTTCTCCTAAAATGGAATTTTGTTTAAAACTTAGACTGCCTCTTGTTAAAAATGTAGTAATAAAACGTTTGCTGTCAAATCCACAGACATCAATTTTTAAATATTTAAGTCATCCCATCTATTCTGTCAGGGTTTTTGCTTCTGGGAAAATCTGAAGGATGTAAGATGACTGGACCCTGTGCTCCTGTCCTCATGGTCACACCTTCCTTCCCTCAACAACAGCCTGATTTCTAAGTCACTGACAACATCAGGAAGGTTCTCATATCAGGGACTCATGTGTTCAGAACCTTGGACAGTAGTTCTGAAAGGTGCCCTGCTGTAGTAAAGTGAACATACTTTAGAACGTGGGTAAACTGTGGCTTGGACGGGTTGCTGCCTCTCAACTGTGCTTATGGTCTGAAGTAAACAACTGATCCCCATGTTAATGAAGGGTGTCTTATTCCATTCTGTCTGGTATAACAAAATACCATAAACTGGTATCTTGTAGTCAACAGAAATTTATTTCTCAGAGTTTTGGTCGCTGAAAAGTCCAAGATCAATCTGCTGGAAGATTCAGTGTTTGCTGAGCGCTTACACTGCTTAACAAATGGTGCCTCCACAATGTGTCTCACATGGCAGAAGATCCAAGGTATGTCCTGTCAACCTCATTTACAAGGTCACCAATTCCATTCATGAGAGCTCACCCTAATGAGCAAACCACTTCAAAATGCATCCAACTCCTAATACCATCATGTTGAAGGTTAGGTTTCAACATATGGATATTTAGGAAAAAAATACTCATTCAGATAATTGCAAAGAGTATCTTCATGGAATGATGTCAGATTCACAAAAAATCATGCTCTTTATCACTCTGGCCACAGACTCTCAGTTGGAATAGAATTAAAGTCAAAAACCCATTTATTATGACACAGGTTAAGTAACAGTAACGCAGACTTTATACATGGTGACTACATAGGATTTGCAGTAGAGGAGAGAGATTGAGCTCAACTTAAAATATAACATGAAAAATTGGGAATTTATAGACAAAGAGCACTGTGGCGATCGATGGTAGAAAATTTCTAAGAGGAAGCATTGAGTTAAGTGAAATTCTGGGTATAAAGGTTGGTCAGCATTTTTGTAGAAGGCAGGCAAAAGTGGTCAGACACACCCTGGAGATGGTGGGGCTGGAGGAGCCTGAGTGGATATCAGGAGTGATCTAATATCAGAGGTGGCAAGTTCTGGCTAAACTGACTCTTCAGGATACTTACAAAAATTGGGCAATGCCAAGATTGAAAGGGAAGCCCAAGATTTGAGACCTAATTGGGGAAATGAATCATGAGAACCTGAATAATATTTATTCAAAAGGAGCCCCTTTGCCAGGAGCTACGTCACCCTTGTTGGGAGGGTTCCCTGGTCAGCCTGCATGAGTGAAGCTGTAGGAATCCCTGGTATGAGCACAACCCAATTTGTGGCAAGAGAACTGTTAAAAGAAAATTATTATGGCACATGCTGAAAATGGCAGGAAAAACTTTATTCAATAATATTGCAACACAAGAGAGAGATTGACCTCAATTCTGAATGCTGCAGAAAAAAATGGATACTTGTATTCAATGGAGAGATTAAAGGAGTGAATGGAAAATTGCTAAGAGTGAATTGTTTAGGTATCTAGTGTTTAGGAGAAGGAGGTAATTGTAAAACATGCTTATCAGGATTCTTTGCTAAAACTTGGCTCAGTAGAACATTGGTGAGGACTAGTCATGAAGAGGCCTCCAAGGAAACTCACTAGAGTTTGGTTAAGGAGGAAGTCCTTGTAGACTCCTGATGTGCAAAAATCCCAGTGGTCACACTCACATGTAGACATGTGTGCCTCTCAGAGGTCTGAGGTCATGAGCTCTAAATGTGGACAGAGTGCCACAAGGAAAGAAAAGCTTAAGAGAAATAACTCCCAGTCCAGGATGACAGGAATCCTCAGGAAGTTACTTTTGCCAAGAAAGAGCAGTCATGAAGGAACCTGTCAAGGAAAAGGGTTCCTGGAGATTAGTCACATCCCACCTACAGAGAGTTACCTCCTTATTCTGTTTCCAGTGAAA